CCTGGTGTAGAGAGGTAAGGTGGCCGTTCCAGAACCCTGCTGTAGAGAGGTAAGGTGGCCATTCCAGAACCCTGGTGTAGAGAGGTAAGGTGGCCATTCCAGAACCCTGCTGTAGAGAGGGAAGGCAGAACCAAATGTTTAGAGAGAAAAATAAGAAATTCAAGGCATGAACTTTGTTTTTTTTTTTTTTTCTTCCTTCACATGAATTCTAGGACTGACTTAAGGAGACTATCTATCAGGATATCTTACTTTTAGGATAGGCACACTTTCATTTAGGAATTTTCTCCTGTGACACAGCTTTATAAATTCTGAGCTGTCCCCTAAGAATGAACTGAGGGGCTGGACTTGCAGGCATGCTAAGATTCCTAGAAATCTACAGCTATCTTTTTCCCCTTCCTCTTCAATTCTGTCTTGCTGAACATTTCTTTGGCTTTCAAGGACCCCAGTGGAAACATGGTCTCAGTAGAGGCCAGGATGGTCTGGATCTCACAATATAGTCAAAGCTGAACCTGAATTTGGAGTTGTTTCCCAGACTCAGTGCTATGGGAATGGAACAGAACCTAGAGGGTACATGCCGAGATGTCTATTCTGTCCCAGAATACAGAACTCAACCAGCATCATAGAGATAGCTGTAGGAAAAGAGAGAGTTTGTTAAGAAAGAGAATACCCCCAAGTGGACTAGACAGCTGGAAAAGGTCAGAGACCCCCATGGTGCTCGGCAGGGAGAGTGGTGAGATGTTCAGGCCATTTACACGGCACCTGTCTTTTCCTACACACAGCAAGCATGTGATTTGAGTATGCTCTAGCTCTTGCATGAGCTCTGCATGAGCGGAGTCACCAGATTTTTTGCCAAATGGCTCCTTTCATTTGTTAATCTTGATGTCTCCCTCTCCAGGTCCTGGCCTCTTGACACCCCCAGCAGTAGGTTTACAGCTGTTTCCACGCTCAAGCTTCATTTTTCTAACCCCCCACTCCTTAATTGGTTTAAAACCTTCAAGATTTTCTCTCTGTTAAGACAAGAGGTACTTTATTTTCTCTCTGTTGGGACTTCCCAGCAAGAACAGGGCAGGAAGGGCACCTTAGACCCTTCATAGAATTTCACCATTGACACCAATGTCTCAGTCATGAGAAGATCTGTGAAGGTGAGGACCATAAACTCTCCCAGCTTTTCATGCTCATACTGCATCTTAGTGGGTCTCAGATGCTTTTTCCTTACCATAGTCCAGTAACCACACAGCCTTCCACATGTACACATGTCTGTCTTTCCTTCTTGTATTACTTTTCTGTTGCTGTGATAAAAACACGAAGGTGACTTGAGGAAGAAAGTTTACTTTGGCTTGTGTTTCCAGAGGAACTTGAGTTTGTGAGGGAAGACCAGTAGGCGTGGTGGCAGGAACTTGAAGCTGAGCACTCACACCTCACATTGCAAGCATGAAGCAGTGAGAGCAACTGAAAACTGCGCCAGTCTTTAAATTTTCATCTCCAGTGAAGATATCCTCCGATAAGGGGACACCATGTAAACTCCCCAAATGGTGCCAAGTGTTCAAATCCGTGAGTCTATGAGGGATATCGCCACGCAAACTACTACAGTTCTCTATTAGGAAGCAACTTGACAATCAACACCAAAGACAAGTATATAAAAATCACCGATGCTCTTTGGTGCACGGATGAGTCCTGGTACTTCATTGTCCTGCCGCAGATTAGACCAGTGGCTACCAGACTGCTCTAGAGTGGTTCCTGAATGGTTGAAGGTCTGAGCATCAAGTCCAGCCTTGCTTTTCTGCTGGCTTATCAGCTGTACCCTAATCTACTGCTATCTTAACTGCCATCTGTGGTCCTGCAGCCCCACAGTCAGTGCCCAGCTGCTCAGGCTGGCCTGGTGGGATTTCCGGTCCCAATGACATCAGCTCTGCCCCGCTGCCAAATGTAGTTTTTAGCTAAGTCACTATCATTCTATTTACCAATAAAAACTCATGAGTCAGATGTTGTGGTGAAAACCTGCTAGCTTGGAGAGGCCAAGAAGCATCCAGCAAGAGCATGTCTCTCCAGCTGTCCCAAACCTGAAGGGCCACAAAACTCCAGGCCCCTCCCTACTCCTTCCTGTGCATCTCTCTATCTGTATTCCTAGTTCCTCCGCATTCTCTATAGCTAATTCCTGTCAACTAGTTGCTGGCTCCACCCCTTGATCCAAGGTTGATTTTATTAACACAGTCTCGGATTTCACAGTGCAATCAAATATCCCACAACAGGGTCTAGCAGATAAAAGGCAGCAGAGAGGGACGGTCTGAGTCTACCTGGAATTGTAAGGTCCTAAGAGGCTGGCATAGCATCCAGCAACTGATGGCTCATGGGTGCTCCTCTTGGATGCTTGGCTAACAGACACATCGGTACCCAGACCGGGAGAATGTCAATGCACTCTGCCAGCAGGATGTGGCCCCTGCTGTCCAGCATAAGCCAGGTGGCTGTGTTCGCTTTCCACCATTATCACAAATCCTCAAGAAAATCGATGTGTAAAGAGAAAGGTTGGCTTTGGCTCAAGGCTTCAGGGATTCTAATTTACGATCAGACTGCCCACTGATTTAGACTTCTGGCAGAGATTCCAGGTATCAATGGCAAGGAACACATGGAAGATCAACGCTATTCACCCTATGACTAGGCAACTAAAGATGAGGAGACAGGCGGCCACAATCTGCTGGAAGGGGACATCTCTAGCAACTTCCCATAAATCCCCCACTCCTGATGAACTCCACAGTGCCTGTAAACAGCACTACTCGATAGACCAATCCTTCAAACATGCGCCACTAAAGGACATTCTGTATGCAAACTAAGCCATGAAGGAGGCTCAGGTGAGTGTGGTTTGTAGCTGGATAACACAGCCAGAAGCAGGGTCAGCAAATCCCAGCCCAAAGCCAGTTCTACCCCTACTCAATATAAATGAAATGACCCTGACACACAGCCCCCATGCTGCCCCCTCCATCTCTGCTGCTCGATGATACTACAACAGAGCTGAGTCACAGCAACAGAGGCCGTGTGACCCAGCCGCTGATAGTTTATCCTCCAAGCTCTAGCCTATAACATGGATTTCTGAGAGCAGAGTTGTGTCTACCGTGTTCACATGGCTGTTCCCAGCAACTATGACAGTCCCTGTCAGGCAGCAAGCACCTAACCATAGTGTGTTAATGAATGAATGAAATGAATAAGTGAATGAATCCCAGAATGTTTAGAATCTCCTTATTGCCTAGGTCCTTTCTGGAAAACAAACAAACAAACAAACAAACAAACAAGCAGGATTGGTCATGCAGACTAGAATTGGGTCACTCAGAGCTGTAGAGAGAGTGAAGTTCAGGAGAATGTGGTAAGGTCTAAGATTGTCTGGTGGGCAGAGTGGAGCTGCACACATCCTGACTGCTTTACCTGCAAACACCCAGCCCGTCTCTATTTCAAGAAATTAAGGCTAATTTTAAATGTGCAGAATTAGCAAAGCACCCTGGTAGTTTTCACTAATGAATTCCAATGGTTAATTACACTTGGATTCTTAATGCTTCTCCCTCCAGAGCCCACCATGCTGATCTTGCTCAAAGGATTGAAGTCACACCTCCTGATGTATTTCTTTAAAAAAAAAAAAGAATAAGAAGAAGTGCTGAGTTTGCTGTGGTTTCTTTGTATTTCCTTGTGGACTCTTCCCGACTCCACTGATAACAGGAGCTGAAAAAAACAAGAGCTTCAGCATAGCATCCTCTGGACCTGTTCAGATTTCTTCAAAATGCATGCTGCCATGTTTTCAGAGCTTGAGTGGGGGTTGGTGTTAAGTGACCTCCCTTCTCCAGCACCTGAGTTTCTGAGTTTCTAAAATAAGGAATAAAAAGTCTCATCTGTAGACTCATCAGTGCATTGAGGATCTGAGAACCGGACAGGCACAGCAGCACACCGCTGCAGACCAGCCCTGAGAACCGGACAGGCGCAGCAGCACACCGCTGCAGACCAGCCCTGAGAACCGGACAGGCACAGCAGCACACTGCTGCAGTGTGGGCGCCATGGGCCCTGGCCCCCGACTGGGAGTGGCTGCGGCCTTGCTTGCTGACCTTGATAAGATGTCCTCCCTATTCAGATTCCCTGCCGGTATCCACCCTTCTGAATGCTTAAGGGAAGTTCCTTGTTTGTGTATCCTGCATTTTGGGCTTTAACAACTTAGATGCAAGAATGTAGAACATTGGGTCTGGAATGTAGACCATTGGTAGCGAACTTCTGCCCTCCGGGGGTTCCTCCATTTGTGCTGTAAGCCTGTATGTATTTA